CAATCTTTAACATGCAGGCTTTTGGGGACATTCCAGATATCATGGAAGTAGAATTAGCAAACAAATCCACGAGATGCCCCGTTATATTTGAATTTCATATTTTAACCTAACAATACATTACACAATAATTGCACTAAAATTATTTGTTGCTTATCTGAAATTCAAGTTTAACTGGGCAGCCTGTATTTATCAGAGAATCCTCAATCCAAACCCACTGCTTCTGGGTTTTCAGGCATGGAAGTGAACCAGAGGAACATGCCTGTAAAGACAGACTGTAAGACCTGGATTGACAAAGAATCTAGGGGAGCACCCCAAGGTCAAAAGGAACACAGGGTTGAAGAACTCTGGGGGTACTGACTGGAGAGAGAGGATTTGGTTCAAGTCGCCCAGGGCATCACTTCCATCTCCTGTTCTGCTGGGCTGCTGCAGTGGCCCCTTCCTCGAAGGGCTCATGCCACTCATCAGGGACTGTATCAGCCTCTCCTCATTCTCTTCCTACCTGCTGGAAACCCAAAGGAAACACATTAGAGGGAGGCTGAGCCATGACAGCCAACAGGAGAGAGTTTTGATCTCCACCGTGTGCCCTATGCGCTGTCTGTGTGGGTGGTGGTGGGGTTGAGGTTGCTCTCCGACTGTCCTCGGCTAGGGGGATAGTTGTGAATTAAGTTCCCCTTCTGCATTGAACTTCCCATGGGGTTCTGTGCCTACGGTGGCAAAAGAAGTTGAAATGGCATCTGCTTCTGAAGAGCATAGGCATAGGCTTCTTGGGATGGTGGAGGGCTTAGGCTTTTATTAACTCAGGGTTGGAGTTATCCTCAGTGGCCTCCTTCGACTTTGTGGTGTCTCTCACTTGCCATTTAGGCAGTTTTTGTAGTAATTGGAAGACATGCGAGGTCCTGAGAATGGCAAGTCTGTGGCACTTGGTGGTTGGTGGCCTTAGAATGAAGGGCATCAAGTTTCACCTGTTCATGGAGGCCCAGACACAGTGACTTTGATATTTATAGCAACCTACTGAACCAAGAGAATGACCAGTTCTGGGGAAAAGTGCCCCACATAATGACAGAGAAGGGAAAGTATCGGCTTTGACACCAGAGGACATTTGACCTTCACTCCTGATCTTCTTCTTATGAGCCATTTAATTTATTTCTGAGCCTTGGTTTCATCTTCTATGAAACAATAATCATATTAGGATATTTTGGAGGATGTAATGCGATAACATTTGAAAATGCTGGCAGGTAGTGAGCTCTGTACGGGCCACTGCAGTGTTTTCTACTCTACCTCTGTTAGGATGCTCAATGGGACGGCACAATCACATCATTTATGTGTTTCACTAGGTTGAGGGTCAAGGGCCATTCCCTGCTCTCCCTTTCCCCCTCATCTCCTGCATGGGCCTGGTATAGTTGTCTGGGCTGTATATACCCCAATACTTAGGTTTTACTGGGAGGTCAGTCTCTAACTTTGGAATTTTTGTCCATGCTTCCTTCTGTCTCTAGCCCTCCTACTGAGGACCAGGCAGATTCTGTCCTGTGGGATGTGCTAAGGAGCAGCAGTCCTAGAAGTATATTAGAAGATCCTCATTAGACTCCCTGTGCTGGAGGACAGTATACTCCTATGTGCTCAAATACATGTAGGTTTGAGTAGCGTCCCAGCTTTGCTACCCTGCTCTTCTCATTAGTAAGCTCTAGGATTCCTGTGATATTTCTCTCCTTTTGATCTCTGCTTCAACAGATTTATTAATTTCATCAGTGCAGTTCAAGTTCAACCTATCAAATTTTTATTGAGCACCTCTGATTTGCCAGACACTGGGCTAGATTTGGTAGGAACAGAGTACAACGGTGTTACTGTTTGGTTATTAAGTGTCCCCATAAGGGGCAAGAAAGGCCATGCATTGAAGGCTTGGGTGCCAGCCAGTGGTGCTATTGGGGATTGATGAAACTTTGAGGAGGTGCGGTCTGATGGAAGGACGTTAAGTCATTTGGGGCATGTCCTTAAAGTGGATATTAGGACCATGGTTGCTCATTTCTCTCTCTTTTTGCTCCCTGGCTGCCATGGGGTGAGCAATTTTCTCTGCCACACACTTCTGCCATGATTTACTGCCTTGCCACAGACCCCAAAGCAATGAAGCCAAGTGACTATGGAGTGAAACTTCTGAAACCATGAGTCAAAATCAATCTTTCCTCCTTGTAAGTTGATTATCTCAGGTACTTTGTCACAGTGATGGAAAACTGACTAACACAGACAGTATCTCTATTTGAGGTGTTTCAGATCTAGTGGAAGAGACACGTGAGAAGGCAGAATTTCTCTAGGATGTGGTAAGGGCCATGATGGAGGTGCACACAGAATGGTATCGGAGCACAGAGCAGGGTCCTTTTCCTTCATTATATTTTTTCCTCCAAAAATCCTATTGCCCCTGCTTCTAACAGGTAGGCAGAGGAGCCAGGTTATAATTTCTGTCTTCAGAACTTTATGACTAATGGAGGTTAGACATCAGCCAGTGGTTGATAGGCATCTATTAAAGATCCAGTTGGAAATCCTTCTGTGCTGAAGAAAAGAAAATTCTAAGGGGAAAGAAAGAAGGAGGTCACAGGCTGCATGGCCCTGGGGTAATTTGGGGAGCAAGTGGGTTCAGTCAAAGGTTCACTTGGTGACAAGGGTATGACATATCTTATGGCTGGACCTGCAACCCGGGCCTATTTTTGGTTGTTTCAAGTTAGCTTTCTATTTGTTCTCTTTCCTGTGTGACTTTTATGTTTCTTTGATATTTGCTTCTTCCCTGTTTTTTTTTTCCTCCTTATTTCCTTCCCTGTCTGCATCCCCACGATTTTGCTGCTTAATCTCCTCTCATCTCTTTATTCTTTTTAAATACCATTTTCCTTTCTTTATACATTGGAGCTGTCTTGGCCTTTTAATTTTGCCTGACTGCCTCTATCTCCAGGCTCTGAAACATGCCTGTTAAACTCTCCAGGTTTGGGGAGGAAATTCTCATTTCCAAAGCCTCTTTGTATAATATGAAAGAACATCTCATGTGTACCTGGTATCCTAGGAAACAGAACTTCAGTTTCTGAACAGGGCAGAGTCCGCACACTGCATTTGTAAGACACGGTGAAAGCAGTCTTGCACCTGGGCAGCAGGAGACTCGGTGCCTTTATTAGGTGGGGAACAATGATCCTGTTCTCCTGCAGGTCCCTATCACTGCCCCGTCTCTCATGTTTTTCTTCGTCTTTCTCCCCTTTCTCTTTCTGTCCTATTTTCAAGTTCAACTTCCCATATTTCTCCTTGATCTATTTTTTTCTCACTCCCTTCCTAATTTCTTTCTTTGGTCGTGAGAGAGAGAGAGTTCAAAGCAGTGTCTGCATCTCTGTTCCCCCAAGTCCTTCCGTTTCACATGATGGTATGGGAGTTTGGGTCAGGAAAGATGGAAATCTTGTCCAGTTGCTGAATGCCTTATGAGACTACGTTGTCTTTCTGATTCTTGTTTTGAGGTAGGATGAACATAGAGGATCTTAAAGTTGAAAGAGATCTCCACTGGCCATTAAAATGACCTTCAACACAATGAAGATACTTTTCCTTTCTAAAGAGCCCTGCAGCCTGTCCCTGAACACAGCTAATTTTGGAAAGGATATCTATCCCACATCAAGAATCCAGGACGGTTGGTGGCCAGCACTCCTTCACAGTCACTGTTAGGATTACCTTGTCCTGGGTCTGTTATTGGTACCTGTTGATCCTGCATCTGCTTCCTAGAGCATAAATCTTTTATACAGTTCTCTTTCAGGCATTGAAGACATGTCAAGTATTGAAGGCACTTCAAGTATTTTCTCTGAAACTTGAAATATTTCATAGGTTCCTCCAAAACAATAAAATAAAATAAGCCATTCTTGACCCCTTTCAGCTACAATAGAACATTCAGAAAGACTCATTTCCTGGAGGTTCTGGATAGCTGACTCAGTCCTGGAGAGGCCATGAGGGATAAGAAGTATGATCTCACTAAAGACTAAAACTAGCAAATCTTAAACTGATGTTTTATTCAATTAGTATTAGTAGTCTTTGCATCAAAAACAATGTTAATGGTGCACATTATGATTTATAGATCACTATTAATTAATATTCAATACATCTAATTTTATTTCTACAGCCAGGCCATGGTAATTTCTTCTTTTTACATGAAAAGAAGAGGGTCCTGGTGGTGGGTGACTGTGTCAAGTCCTAGTTCTCACGTTGAGTCATGACCTGAACTCCATTCTTCTGGCTCTTAGTCTTCTGCTGCATCATTCATGAATACATGTGTGTTCTTGTCTCTCCAAAGTATCTGCAGTGTCACGGGAGTCTGTGCAATAAACGGTCTCTTCTGGACAAGGCGGTTGGTGTAGACAATTTAGTAGGATTCTTATGGGTTATTTTTTATGTATGCTTCTGAATGTGACTGTGGAAGGTGGATAAATGGAAGCAAAGAAACCTAGTTCCAAGAGTAGTTTGGAGTCTAATTATTAGAATGTTGGTAACGTGTGGAGACTACCCAAGTTATTACAAAGCATGGGTGTGATTGATTTGTTAGTTAAAAATTCTAAGTGTCAAGGTACAGTGCAATGACTTCTCCTTTAGTGGTGTTAATCCAGAGGAATTTCCTGAAGGAGAGAAGAAGTAGAGGAATCTAAGAAAACTATGAAATTAAAAAATGTGAGTGTCTAAGTCGGCTGGAGGTGGGGGATAGGAAGAAGAGTCAGGCATCAAGATGCTGGGGACTTCTCTGCTGCTCCTGAGTTGGGGCTTCAATGATTCTCGTTGGTAAGTTTTCCTTCTTTGCAAAGTGAAACCCAGATGGCTAAATTTAACTCAACTTGACACCACTGGTGATTCACCCAGGCTCAGGTGCGCCCACATACAGCTGGTATCAGCTTGGTGTGCTTTCCAGGCTGAGCCTGCTGCAGCCCAGCTCCCCCTGAGGAACGGGAGGGGACAGCCAGGCTGTGTTAACCTTGACTCTTCTGTGTCTCCATCTGCAGCATCCTGGCCACTGCGGGGACCCACTTCAACACCCACGTGGACCTGAGGACCCTCCGGGCTGTGCGTGTCCTGAGGCCTTTGAAGCTGGTGTCAGGGATACCTAGTGAGCACTTGCTTTCTTCTTTCTGCTCTGCTAGTAACTTTATTGATGTGTTTTCCACCGGATCCTGGGTTGGAGACAATTTGGGATAAACAAAGAAACAATTCCTCCTGGGAGGAGGCCCCAGTGGTAATCAAGATGCAGCAATAGGGCCTAACGTTTCACTTTGAATTTTAACTCCTTTTTCAGATTTAAAAGACGATGGAATATTTTTGCAGAACATTTGGAAAGTGGAGAAAAACCACAAAAAAGAAAATGAACATTTCTCATGTTAGCAAACTTTATCATTCATTTTCCCTGTACATTTTAATATAATTGGAATCATTATGCATACATAGGTAGTTTTGAATGCCCAAATAAGCATTGTACATTCTCTTATGTGTACTGTGATTTATTCAGCCATTTTTTAACGTGGCTGAAGAATATGAAAAATAAAGATAATTAATCCTCATTTTTCTCCCCACTATGAAGAAGAGTGCTACAACACATTGTTATTTAAACGTGTTTTCAAATACCTGGCCATTTTCTTAGGCTAGAAGCCTAGAAGTGTAACGTGGGGGTTAAAAGCAGATAGTTGTACTGAGGGTGCTTCTCTCACAGTGGGTGGGAGAGCTGGTCTGGGTTAGGGTGGTAGGGAAGAGGGAACAGGGCGAGGCCTAATTAGGAAAGGAACACATTCTAATAAGTTCAGTCTACAAGAGGAATCCAAAAACAACGTGGACGGAACAGGAGGACGGGCGATGGGCAGGCAGGTGACTGATGAGGGAGAGGTGAGGAGGGAGGAAGGCGGAAGAGGAACGTGGTCATGGCCGTCTGTGGCCTGACTGTCCTGGGTATCTCATTGTGAATTGTCTCTGTCCTCTCGGGACCAATGGCTGTCTGCTCTTGGAGACTTGCCCTCCTCCTAGGACAGGATGAATAGAGCTGCCCTGGCAGGTGGTCCTCAGGGGGCAACGTGTCCTTCTCTGTTCTCTCTCTAGGTCTGCAGATCGTGTTGAAGTCCATCATGAAGGCCATGGTGCCTCTTCTGCAGATTGGCCTTTTGCTCTTCTTTGCCATTCTGATGTTTGCTATCATTGGCTTGGAGTTCTACAGTGGGAAGTTACATCGAGCATGCTTCATGAACAATTCAGGTAAGTCCGTTATTTTCTGTTTTTTTTTTTTTTTTCCCTTCCTCTTTCCTCTGGTCACATTATTTTAAGGCCTTTGGAGCCTGGTTGAAAAATGTGCATCCTATGCCAATTCTGGAATTAGAATCAGAAACGCCTTAGTCAGCAGTCTTTTGAGGCACAATCAGCTTAAAGATCCCCATTTGACACTGGTCTCACAAAGAAAATAACCTTTTAGGTTTGTAGGTGGATGAATTCAAATAAGTGGTCTCAGCTTCCTTCTATAGTAGAGGGATATGTTCAATGCATGTCCCAAGCCATCAGTCCAAATAAATATCCTTTATCCAGTGCATCTTTTGCCTACAGGACAATGAGACTCAGAGACAGTAGTCAGACTGGGTCTCTCTGGATCTAAGGAGACAGTTTTCTTCCATGCTCCGTCTTAGGTTTTCCTTGTTCTGTGTTCTGACCCAGACCTAGTATGGAAGAACTGAGAGAGCTCTGAGCTTGGCTTGGCAAGTGTGCTTGGGAGATTGGTGGGGTGCACAAACCACAAACCCTTTTTAGGTCTTACTTGTTCTTTTCAAGTTGAGTTGAGGACCCTAGGAGGAAAGGGAAGGGTAGACAGGCTGAAGAATCTCCAATAGGCACCATGTTTTTATGGAAAAAAATCTTCCAAGCATTTTAACTTTTTACCTTTTATCAAAAGCTAGAAATCTACGCTAGAACAACATCCACTAAAGGGACGGTAGTTTAGAACTGTCCCCAAGAAATCCAGGAAGAAGTCAGACTTTATCCTGGAATCTGCAATTAGGCAGTCATCAAGATTCTGCCTTTCCCTCGGGGTCTTCTGTGGGATTCAGTCCTGTAAATTCCTGTGGTCCTACAAGTGAGAGTGGAGGTTGGGGCCAGCAGAAAGTAGCTGGTCATGTGGAGGAGAGACTCCATTTTCAGAAGAGACTGGGAAACCTCAGGTTGAACACATGGCATGTGAGCTGGGAGGCATAGAGGAGAGGGTGCCTGAGACAAGAAGGGCAAACCTCCGTCAACTGGCAGTAGACTTGTTTACTTGTGGCTTCCTGGGGTTGTTTCCAGCTCATGCTAAGCACCATGTGGTTTACCCTCAACTCTCCAAATGTGCCTGCACAGGTATTCTGGAAGGATTTGACCCCCCACACCCATGTGGTGTGCAGGGCTGTCCAGCTGGTTATGAATGCAAGGACTGGATCGGCCCCAACGATGGGATCACCCAGTTCGATAACATCCTTTTTGCTGTGCTGACTGTCTTCCAGTGCATCACCATGGAAGGGTGGACCACTGTGCTGTACAATGTGAGTAGAGCTGGGGGCGGGGGAGGAGGAGGGTGGAAACCTGCAGGGAGGCAGAGGCCTGCAGGGAGGCTTCGGGGTTGTTAGTCTGGGGATCTCTCAGGGGTGAGTATACTCAACTGTGAGAAGTCTTAGTAGTTCTTTTCACTCTTGGTCTCACCCTTGCTAAGAGGAAGTAAGTAGGTTCTGAACATAATTAGGAGATTGCATTCTGTACTGAATGAGTGAACCAACTAGTTAAATCAGATCACCTTAATGGTACCAGAGTTTGTTGGTTCAGGGTGGTGGTGGGGTACAGTGAGGGGTACTAATGGATGCAGGGTTCGTGGTTACTGTCCTCAAAGAACTTACCTTCAGGTTGGGAAGCTGTTCCAGTGGTTCTCAGCCCCAGCTACCCATTAGAGTCAGCTGGGAGCTTTAAAAAATTATACCACCTGGGCTCTGCTCCAGGCTGATTAAGTGGGGATATCTAGGGGTAAAGGCCTGTCATTGGCTTTTTTTTAAAGCTTCCTGACTAATTCTAATATATAGCCAGTGTCAAGAACTACTGCATTACATGCTCATAGGAAACATGGTTAATTTAAAATTCAGATTCCCAGGCCCTTTCTCTGGAGAGTCTGATTTTGCAGAGTTGGTAACCAGTGCTTTTTACAGTGCCCTTGGTGATTCACATGATCAGACATGCTTAGAAGATTCTGAGTTGGTATATAAGACAGGGCTGTCTAGTTGCCTGTCCGGGATGTTGAGGATTCCTGCAGGGAGACAGAAGTTAGACAAGGTGACCATCAAGTCTCTTCTGTCTTCCAGAGTCTGAAATAAGTTATCCAAGGCTTGGTGCAGAGTCCAAATTTAAAAATGAGAGGCTGGGAGACTGTGTGGTTTGATGCACATGGAGCCTCTGTGGGCAAACAATTTGGGTAGTTGCTTATCAACTGTACCCTTCTATCCATTCAGTAAGTCCCACTCTCAAGGCAGATGCCTTTTGAGTGATTATTCCTCACTGCCGGAGCCCGCCTTTACCTTAAGGTGCCTTCTGTTTCCTTCAGTTCTTCTCTTGATCCCCAGGGGTGGTGAAGTCCAGGAGTTAGCTAGTGTCCCCCAGAAACCCCTGGGGGACACTCTGGGATTCTTTTCATCTGTGGGAGGCAGCAAGAAGGAGGGAAGGGGGCATGGTTGATGAGTATAGTCACTCCTCATTTGAAATGTGAAGATCGTCTTGAGGCCATGTCACTCAGATTAGTCAGGCACCTCAAGAACTGGCCCAGCAGCGGCTGGTGTCACTTGTGGGGCTTTGGGAGTAATGGACTTCAATTATATGTGTAGACTCACCTAAGTGATGTGATAAACGCATTGAAAGTCTGAAAAGAAAAGTGTTGCATTTGAGGATCTAGGCGTGATCTTAGATCCTCTTTAGCCAGGGCTCAGATGGTACTGAGATATGCAAAAGCAGAGTGAAGAAGCTCTCATTATTCTTGCATTTATTCATTCTGCATGTATTAGCTGAGCATCTACTGTAGGCCAAACACTGTGCTAAGCACTAGGAAAAGAGGTAGAATAAATAGTACCATGATCCCTGTTCTCATGGTGCTTTCTTCAGATTCCCGTCTCTTTCCAATTATCTGTGAACCACAGCAATGGAGGTCACACAGAAGGTCAATGATCTTGTTCTCCTCTAGTTTTGCTCCACCAAGGAATTGGGGGAGGGGGGACAAGAGGTCACACTGCAGATCCTCTGAAACCTTTCAATGCATCAGCTCCTAGAGCCAGATTCACACCCTGCCTGGTGCCCATCATGCCAGCCATTGAGCTTCAGTTTACTGAAGGCCTCCTGATGTCCTGAGCTGGATAGAGGGATGGGGAACTAGGGGAGCTATAGGATTTGGTTTGCAAAAAGTATCACGGGGCATAATGAACTCAGGTGCACTCAGAAAGCACATCACTTTCAAAAGCATTAGAGCTAGGGGCAGGGCATGGAGCTGAGAATTCCACGTAGAAATGATAGTCATATTTAGGTGGATAACTACACTTTGATCCAGGAGAAGTTAAATGAAAAAGGCACCCAAGTTTCAGCCAATGGAATGAAGATAAAGTTTGATTCCTCAGGAAGAGAGGGAGTTAGCAAAAAAGCAGGGCTCTGAACATACCTTGTAGACTTAGGGTCTCCTACCAGCAGAGGCACTTGCTCAGGGAGGTATTCTCTTCACATATGGTGGAATCACATCATATAAGCTTTTTATGTACCGAATTCAGCCATTTATTTTGGAAAGGGAAGGGGGTTGGAAACAGAAAGGAAAATACCAATTTAAATATTCTAGACAAATCTGCCTGCTGTTTCTTTCAACCAGCTTATGCCCTTTGAAAGTGCAAGATGAGCCAGGTGCTCACCGGTAGTCTCAGTTACTCAGGAGGCTGAGGCAGGAGGATTGCAAGTTCAAGGCCAGCCTAGGCAATTTAGAGAGACCCTATCTCAAAAAAAAAAAAAAAAAAGGTCTGGGGGTCTGGGGATGTAGCTTGGTGATTGAATGCCCTTGGGTTAATTTCCTAGTACCAAAAAAGAAAGAAAGAAAGGAAAGTAGGGAGGGAGGGAGGGAGGAAGGGAGGAAAGGAGGAATTAGAAATGCCTAGACCTTGGTTAAAAATTTGCTGATTCTAGTAGCCCATATCATTAATACCTGAGTTTTTGTAGTTTTTTTCCTTTTAATTTATACTTTTTAATGACAAAATTTACACATATCCATAAACACATTCTGGTTGCACACCGAGTAGTTAATTATGAACAAGTAGTCAATTTTGTATCATATATATATACAGGTATACATATATGTATTTCCTATATAGAAAAATGACTCACTGAACCATTATCCCTACCATCACCAAAAAGAAGCAAATATAAATACATTGATTTCCCTCTTTCTTATTCCTCCTTCTGGGAAGGTCCAATTCACCCAGCTGCCATATTTTTTCATGCAGAACCTTGAGAGAAAGGGAACTCTTATTCCCAGCCCACTGTCCCTTCAATTCAGAGGTGGCAACAAATATGCAAGATTTATTGGTGCCATTTACACCCAAGCCAGTGGGAGAACCTTCCAGTTTATACAGTACCAAGAAACTCGCTGGAGCATGAGGGCTGAGTTTAGCCTTATATATATAATGTAAATGGTTTCTTATGTTTGCATCCCTTTTCTGCTGCAGACTTTTCCTAAATGCCTCCCTCTGACCTTATGTGGCTTTGGCATTGGTTACCATTAATTTCTGCCTTTGATTACTATTAATTTCATTTGCATGCAATTTTTCTCATTATAATCTTTATTGTAAGTGGGGACGGTTCACATTATGAGGGCAATATGGAGTTGCCCATGCTTAATTTAGACTCTACCAAAATTTCAACTCTGCTTGGTCAGACTCCAATTGTATTCCTGGCTCCCTTCCGTCCTGTGGTGGAAAGAATGCAAAGCAGATTGCAGTTCTGCTGGCTGCTTCTACCTGTTTTGACTGTCTCTCCCAAAGGTCTCCTCAACTTCCAAACTCTCCCCTGTACTTACCAATTTCATTGATTTTATTTCTTCTAACCCTGACAGGTAATCCCTTTCCAGAACAGTATGTTCTCTCTCTCTCTGGCCAGTGCTATCCACTCAGCAGATGCTACTGTGGTTTGGGGATTAAGTTCTAACCCTCTTTTCCAGGGCTGGTTGTGGCCATAGGAGTTGACTGTCCCCTGATTCTGACCTGAGTCTTCTTTCTCTTTGTCATTCATATTTTTTTTTAAATCAAGATAATATACAGATTGCAGAGATTCCCAATCCCTGTCAGCTTCCCAAGTCTCTGCTCTTAGAGGCTGGTAGTTTTCATTGGTATTTCTGTAGCTGGAGCTGTCTGTCTTCTCACTTGCGGTTGATACACATGCAGATGCAGGTGAACATATAGGTACCAGATTCTAAGTGCCCTCTGCAATACAGGGTCTCAGATTCCTATAAGAACACAGGAGCAGGGAAGTCTAGATGGGGATGCAGTGGGGAAATCAGCCTATTCCAGAGCATGACAGATCCCGTATTCAAGTATCTACAAATTTTACCAACTATACCCCAATCCTAGGTCAGCTGGTGCCTCATAGTTCTGCCATTGTAAGATGTCGTGCTGGAGCTGTGCAATTCTCTAGCCTTGCAGCTTTGCCACACATCTGTTGTGATTACCTGGGACATGGCCTGCTGCTGAAGTGGGAAGGGTCTTTAGAGACTTTGGTCTTGGGACAGGAAGAGGCAACTTGTAGTCTGGGTGCTTTCTGGGAGTCTCCTCACTCCTTGGGTCTGTAACAATGCCTGTGCTCTCTCCATGTTAAAGAGTTAACATCTCTTCACTGTTGGTCTCACTGAGAGTCTGCTTATGTGTGCTTGGCCTCAGCATGTTGAAAGAATAGCACATCCCGGGGGGATGGAAAGCTGCCATTCTCCTCGATGTCTTTCTGAGTTTGTGGTATCTACAGAGGACGCTTTTGGTTCTGAGGTCTGTTCAGGGAATATGTCCACTCATCTGTGCTTTGGTCATCTCCCATCACCCCCTCTGCATGTGCTGTTGACAGTTGAACATACTCAAAACTCATCAGGCAAGTCAGTGGCAGGAGCCTATGAGCATCTTATGACGGTAGAACTATGAGGCACAGCAGCTGACCTAGGATCAGGGTAGAGTTGTTAAAATTTGTAAATCTAGGATTGGCCATGCTCTGGAATGGAGTAATTTTCCTTCCAACTAGATTTCCCTGTTCCTGTATCCTTTCAGGAGTCTGAGACTCTGTATAATCTTAGGGGATGATACGTGGATCCTGAAAGTTAGTTTGCCTCCCTTCTCAGAAAGGCTGGGAGGTGAGGTGTGTATGCTTACTAAGGAGCTATGATAGCTCCTTAGGTGCTTTTCTCTTTGTTTTCTTTCATAGGTAATTACAGATTCATTCATTAACTCATTAACTTATTTATTTAGAAAATATTTATCAAGTGCCTATTATATACCAG